TTTGTATTCATATATATATGCTTGCTTATATACTATATTTAAATATGTGGTTTTATTATCTACATAGATGATCCAATATGTTTCTCAAAAGAACATCCTATTTTTATACTTTTCATCAAGCTGATCCGAAATGCCTTTATGTCTCAGTACTCAAAATAATCACATAAGGAGACATATTTTCTTTCATGATGAGTAGTACATTCTGGATAATTTCTGACATGATAATCTACAGCTATAACAGTTCTTTTGTCTTCATATAGTATGTAAATATCACATTTCTTTAAATTATTTACATAACATTTAGAGACAAATTTCAATACCAGACTATTTAAAAAATGCTGGAAAATGGGTTCTCTCTTATATGACCTACAACCATTACGATTCACATATTCTAGACTTATTAAAATATATATATATAATACAATTGGTAAAATTAGTGATTCAGTAATAAAATACCACTGTTCAACAGGCATATCTGAGGTCTATATCCACTAAACTTTATTTTAAAAAGATTTAATACATAAAATCCCACATATAAAAATAAAGATTTAACTGTTTCACAGTTAAATTAGCAATGACACTGAAAAAAAATCTAAGAAAAAAAAACATCATCATATTCTTTACATGCAAGCTAATGGCCAACAAGGAAATACTATAATAAATAAAGAAGGGAACCTTTAACAATTATCAGGAACACTTCATGCTAAATAAATGCTAAATAAAATGAGTAAGGAGAATGACTAAAATTTTCCTGTCTCCATTTCATGTTTTCTTACTTTCTGCACTAATTACTTAGACAACATCTCCTAACATCATATCATTAAGAAAGGTTAGTCATTAATCTCATTCAGAGACCTAGAAAACTTGCAAACAGAAAAGCACAAAACAGAACAATGGCAGCAAGAACAGCAACAATCCACACTGGCACCATACCTGCAAAGAAGAGAAGTCCGTTGAGCCTACTCAGGCCTCTCTAGATTTTTTTACAATAAAAAATATGACAAATAAATCAAGAGCAGTGTAGCATTATAATTGCATCTTTACAGCCCCCATATTGCCATAAAAAAAGAAGATATGTACCAGGTTTAGGGATGTGGTGGATCTTCAAGGAATTATCACAAGAAATGGAGAGTACTGAAGCATCTGTGTAACCCCGGATCATCTGGGATTCAGCATCATTAGTTGGTAGCCATTCCAGTCCAGTCACAAACATGCTATGTGCTTCTTCTATTGTTTGTAGTTTCTGTAAGAAATATTGATCATTAAAAAATTTCACTCAAGTACTAATATTAAGAAAGACAATTTTATTAATTCCAGTAAATATCATCAAGTAGGTATCTTACCTGTAGACTAAATGCTACCAGTATGTAGACTGTTCCCCCCATAGTTCCAGTTGCCAAAAAACGACCATCATCACTCAGTGCCAAACTACTCAATGAACCTGTAAGATTCTGAGTTTTTTCCTGGGTGTAGCTCTTCCCACACCACTTGGCCACAATGGATGGATTCTTTGTTCCAGTTACTGGGTTACTAATGGTAAAGAGACGAGTCTTAGCAGGATTTGCTTCAACAGTGCCATACCTGAGAAAGTGTTTTAAGATTTTAGAAAGCAAAGTATAAATTCAACAACTCACATCTGAAACATAAGATGAAATATGTTTGATTAAGAAGAGTTTTCATGTTTTTCAAAAATACAATATGTAGACAAATTAAATTAGATCCTGGAGGAAATTACATTTAAGCTGATACACAGTGGTTTCAAAGCTCTAGCATTTTTACTCATTCAATGCACTGTTTTTGTTTTTTGGTTGGTTAACTCTTTGCCTTTGGATGGCCTATAGGCAATGCCATGCTGAGAAGGCCACCTTATGAGGGAACAATGTAATGCTATGCAAAGAAATGCTATCTCACCAGGAACATGTACTTCACGTCATCACCTGCTGCAGTCCAATCACATTTTACAGCACCTTGATGGCTGGGTGCTTTTGCCAGAATTTAGGACAATCACATGTCTATATAACACAGCTACAGACCAGAAATAAATTGGTCACATTGGCATGAAAACAATCACATAATTTACCACCAGGTGCACGCCACCTTTCAACATTTTAGCTGACTCAAAGGCACTGGGTTAATGATAGTATGGCAATGGATTTGCATCCACCATAGACTAGTGTCAATCATCTCTTTAAGGAGGTTGTGTGAGTGGGGGTGAGTGCCAGGTATGGCTGAGGTCGAGGGCGGCTCCCCCGACGGCTTAGGCCTGGGTAGGCCTAGTTGCTGCTGGCTGTTGTCTTGCTCTGCTGGAGGATCGTGAGTGCTGAACTCAGCCCGGGCGCCGGAGTTTAAGAAGGGGTGAACTGTGCCAGCTACCCAGGAACGAGGGGAGCCTGCGGTCCAATAGGCGAGCCGTGAGGTGTCCGGTGTCAACCAATCAGGTCTCGGTATGCGTCTTCGAGAAGCTGCTGATGGTGAGGGCAAGACGACAGGCTGTGTGGAC